CCCCAAAACCCCAAAACCCCAAAACCCCATAAGACATAGCTGTGTTGATAAATTAAAACCTTGTTTTATTATTATTTTAATATGTCTTTCAGGGGTCAAGGGAATAGAAGCCTCAGTCGGTTCAAGCAACCAAATAAGGAGATTAAAGATCCAGGTACAGCTTTTAGATTAATTTCCACTTTTATAAAGTCAAGCTGCTTTAATAATTAAATGAATGCGTGGTCAAATTTAGGAATAGATCTTATACAATTTTGGGACGCTTCAAAGTTAGCTTCGATTATTAGACAATTGGTATTAATTCTCCAGAAATATAATTACTACATTTTACTGTTACTCGTAGTGACCATTCATGTATAATACAGGCTAAAATATGTTATTACTAACACTGAATGATAATTCCTTTTAAAATACAAAAAAATTAGATTTTCATATTCAAAATATAACACAAGAAGCTTATATGAAATAGTAAAGCTATTTTATACTTGTTACAAGAGACTCCTTCTTATTAGACACTGCACGTTGATATATCTGTAGGACTTTACTCCAAGAATTTAAGATATTCTCACATTTTTATTTAGTGCTCATAAACAAGGCTCCAAATTTAGCATGGGCTATGTTTAACTCAGTTTTCTAGTTCCTTTATGAATGGATGTCTCAATATTGTGTAGGAGCAAGGAATAAGGAAGAAATTATCCGGGAAGTGGCAAACAGGCCAATGGGAAAGAGTTCTAATGTTATTCAGGTGAATTTGTGACAAAATTTGGATTGAGATAAAATTTAGAGAAAGGTCATACCTAAATTTTGGATATAGCGCTTATAAGGAAGAGCTTGAACATTTGGATTGATTACTTGTATATTAAATATATGCTTGACTAGGATAAATATTAATCTAACTTTTCAGCTTTCTTCAAAATAATCCTGTTAATAAGTTTAAACTAAATAATTTGATTTTAGCAAATTGACTCACTTTATTTTTAATTTAATCAGAGATTTTTTCTAAAAATATATTCCTTAGGAATTTTCCTTTAGAAGATTTTGCTAAAGCCAATCTGATTTTCTCTGAAATGCTTATAACAGCATATAGCCAATCCAAAGTTGCTACAGAGAATACCGATCCCCTATTAATTGGGCTTTTCAGATGTTTGACCCCAATAAATTTCACAGAGAATTTTTCCACTGAAATGTAGAAGATCTTTCTCGAGTAATCAAACAAAATATTAACTCACAAGACTTGCTCAGCAACAAAAAAGCGAAGACTCTTGAGTCGGTTGAGTTTATCAGAAAAGTCCAGCAACAAAGCAATCCTCAAAACCAGCCAGATGGTTGGGGCTTGAAAATAGACAAATCTGTTTCGAGATTTGACACTGTTTTACAAAGAAGTCTGATGCCTCCTCCAAACCCTAAGGCAAATACATCAAAGACCAGAAGAAATGGTCAAGACAAAACTGAGCCTCAGAAAGTATGGAATCAAAATAAAATTCTCTGTGAAGATGGAAATGCGTTCACTCCAACAGCAAAGTTTGAAGAAGAAAAATCAGTACAGCTTAGCAATAACCTCAGGAGAGAAGGAATCGAGGAGGAACCTGACTTTGACTTCCCTGTTTCCCCTAAGAACAATAGAAAAATGAATAGATGGGGAAAGTGCCACGATAAGAAGCTTTTTGCAGCTATCAGGTTTCTTGAAAAGAAGGGCATTTTAAAACTTAATGACCTCCTTACGATGAATGCAAGTACTGAAGCCAAATGTGACCAAGGAGTTAAAATTTTAGCGAACAAGATTAGCTGGAACTGGCAATATGAAAATTTAGTTGAAAGAGTTAAGAATCTGAGTGACAAGAAGTTCTCTTTTAGAGAGATTAAGACTCTTAAGAGAATTATTAAGAAAGAATATAGGCACAAGCCATTAGATTATGAGAAAATTTTGTATCATTTCCCAGGAAAGACAGTGGAGAAACTGATGGCTACTTGTGATCACATTATGGCCTGCATTAAAGATAAATCATTATCTCGCTTTAAAAATGAAAAGTAGTTAATTACTCAACTTTTTATCCTAAATCATGTTTTAATATCTTTGGGTTATACAAGAATTCTAGTTTCTTTTATAAGTAGTGAAATTTATCGATGTAATAATTATTCTTACACCATATAAATTATCTTTGCATGAAATCCTCATGAAATTATAAAATTCAAAGTTTCAACAATATAAATAAAGCCAGGGGTTTTGGGGTTTTGGGGTTTTGGGG